ATGAGTGAGGGATTAGGAGTAAGACATCTACATCTCAAAGACTCTACTAATCACATCTCCTGTTGTCCCTCTTAGTAAGAAACACAGCCACCCTGGAAGACTTTTGTGGGGTTCCCCTAACCAACTTTTTTAGACTGAAGAAGCTGCTTGGACAAGTAGGGAAACCTCTCTACCAAAAAGAAAAGAAGTCCAGTTGCCATGACTCAACCTCCAGACAATTCCACCTGGATGACTGAGAATCTTCATAAAAATACTCAGTTTAGACATTTTCCTGCCAACCTCCAAAGGCTGACCAGTTACTATTTAACTCTCAGCAGTGAATTAATAGCTTAATGTTTCAAATTCATATTAATGTCCCTCTTAGTAAGAAACACAGCCACCCTGGAAGACTTTTGTGGGGTTCCCCTAACCAACTTTTTTAGACTGAAGAAGCTGCTTGGACAAGTAGGGAAACCTCTCTACCAAAAAGAAAAGAAGTCCAGTTGCCATGACTCAACCTCCAGACAATTCCACCTGGATGACTGAGAATCTTCATAAAAATACTCAGTTTAGACATTTTCCTGCCAACCTCCAAAGGCTGACCAGTTACTATTTAACTCTCAGCAGTGAATTAATAGCTTAATGTTTCAAATTCATATTAATGGAGTTTATTTAAACTTCACTTGAACTACTAAAAATAGACTGTTGAAGATGTATTAGTGTAAATGATTGCAGAAGAAATCAAGACTGACTCTAAGATCTGTGTAAACATTATGGAGCATTATAGTTAAAATGAAGTTCCTTTCATTGGATGAATGGTTCACTCTATATCCATGCTTCAGGGAGTACATAAAGGTATATGCTGTACAAGGGTACCTTTCATTAATTTCAATTTGATTCTGCCTGATCTGAATTGTACCTAGAAGATAACATCACTTCTCCTCTAAGTAAAAGTGGTAACACCCATCAACTGGTAATAGTAGCATCATATATAAACATCTTTGAAAATATATGTCAGTCACTTTACAACAACTCATATTATTCAGATTTCAATTCTAGGTTAAAACATCTAAGAGTTTAATATCAGATCTCTGATAATATTAAGAGACAAATACACTAACAGTAATTCAACTGTATGTTCTGAATGGATGGTCTGTATGAAATAGCAATTACAGTTATATAACGTAGAAGCCATCATCAGGTTAGTATATGTAAAAGTGCAGCTTAATTATGAGATATATATAAGTGTTACTCAGTGCCATTTATTTGATCCTCAGTCATCAGCATCTTTCTTTTTACAGATGGCCAAGGCTTTATTCAAATAATAGTGCACACCTACAATGTCAATTTTTTAAACTCTTTAGCTGAAATAATCTAAAAAAATAGATAGCTTTGCGTGAGTTTCTGTTTGGGAGTGACAGCATACGAAGTTTAGGAAAAATCCAGAAAGACCTACTCTGTAATAACAGTATGTTATTGTATGTTGAGATCTGCATGGTGGTATTTCACAAATAATAAAATCTCTACCTGAATATGTTAACAAAATGTTGAAGGAACATTGATGTGTTTTTTTTCTGATCCTCCTTATAGGTTCTGCAGAACTAATTGTCAACATATACATTTTTCTTGTTAAGATTATTAAAGCACACAACTTTGTATGTCATATATATCTCTTTTGAAGTTAGAATTTTCAGATCATATTTCTCATTGAACAATGGCATTCAATTTAGCGGAACCAACTGAAAAAGTCTGAATTCATTAATATGGCTTAATTTTTTTTTAATTATATGTGTTTTATAAATAACGGCCATGAATATGCTTCAGCAATATTTATTAGTTTTTAAAACTGAAGACTGTTCCTGAGCTTGCGGGAAGAACCAAGTGGAATGTTTATAATATTGTTAAACTTGAATAACTCCGATGGATCTTTGTGACCCCATGAGGCTCTCACCATATTTTTCTGTGGTGTTTGCAGCTAAAGTGGTGTGCTTGGATTGCTGTCTACTGCTCGTTTATCAGCTTTGCCAACTCTAGGAGCTCAGAAGACACCAAACAGATGATGAGCAGTTTCATGTGAGCCATGTTCTTTTACTTCTTTCAGACTTGTATTGTGCCCTAGTTTTCCATGGCAGTCATTTCTGAATACGTAGGTCTTGCCCTGGAAATTATTTTTCAGGAATGCTAATAACAAAGTTCTCAAAATTCCAAATATGCTCACCAGCCCCAAAAGCTTACTGATTCTTGTCTTTGATTTGATTTGAGTAGCTTTCCAGCTGATAGGGACCCCTTCTATAATAGTGCTGTTCAAAATAAGAGCTGTTTCTCCTCTCATCAAAATGAAGCCTTCATGCTTCTATGATAGATTGATAATTGAAGTTGCCTTCTCTTCCTTGTGTTGGCTTTTCTGCTGAGTTTATACTCCTGGAAAAGCAGTGTGGTACGTCATCACTGACAAGAAAAGTTGCCAAATAATGGAATCTAGAAAACTAGCTTTGTGGTAAATCTTTATTAGCTTCTGTTGCCTGAGCATTTTGCCTTTTTACCTTTAACATGTAAAGTATGTAAAGGATCCAGGCACACCTGCCTCATTGTCCACCCTCTCAAAGGGTCTTTCCATTGGAATTGAGATAGATGCTATATTTACAGAATAGAAGGGATGTTACTTTAAGAAGCAGACACTATTGAAAGGGAGCAACAAGTTCTGCCTCACTGTAAATAAGGACTCTAGAAAATGGATCTAGAGTCCATCAGTGGAGAGGCAAAAGCAATGATAGTGTATTCCTTTGCCTCATTACAGACATTCACACTCTACATGTGGAGAGCAAACAGCCTAGGATTAAAAGTCACCACAAGCTCCAAGTCACCTCAGTGATCTGATATTCAGAGGGTTTCATGTTTACATCCACAGTGAGGAAATGCCTGAAAATATCAATGCCTTTGAAAATTAGATCACTTGGGAGACTTGAGTGGGGTGGGGCTCACCTCTGTTTGCTTGGTGAATTTAAACTCTTCGTAAAGCCTTAACAGAGCTGCTTTTTCTTTTTTTTTCCTGCTCAATAAATTCTTATCTCATCCTTATTCAGTTTCCTTCAATCTTTTCTCTTCCCTTCCCCTTACAGTACAACTACCTCCTACCTGTATTTCCATTTTTCTTCATTTTTCTTCATTTTTGCTCTTTTATTGAAAAGAAATGGATTGTGTATGTTTGTACTTCTATATTTGTATGATAATGTTTTCTATATACGAGAGTGGTATGTATATGTACGTTCAGATAGGAACCAATTATGGGATGTGTAATTTTAGGGACAATTCATTTTAATCCATAGTTATTCAATTTATTTTTGTTGCTGCTTTGTTCTTTTATGGATATGTCTTTTATACATTTATCTATACAGTAAACAAGTTAACACATGCACAAATTTATTGAGGGGAGCAAATCTCCAGGATTGGTTGGCAACCTTGGGTTTATAAGACAATGAAGTTGGGCAGTACATGGGATTTTTTTATTTATGGGGTGGGATTTTTTATTTATGGGGGCTTTCCCCCTCTTTACTCTTTCTTTTTTGAGGAGAGAGGGGGATTGTCTTGAATTCATGATCACCCATAAGAGTTCCTGGAGGAAAGTGAGTGACGAAACATACATCATGATGTCATAATGCAAACCCTATGGCTTAAATACATCTGTCTGATGTCGGAATGCAAGTACAAAGGGACAGGTTTTGCCCCATGATGTCACTGCACTTATCATATTTTCATTATTGAAGCTATCAGCAGATGCCTATGGAATCATCTTCCTTTCTGATAAATATGGTTATTGCCTTAGATTTTTATACTGTGAAAGCAACTCTGCTGACAGTTTTAGGGGCCCATTACAGTTTTGGAACCCTGTGTGTGCACTGTCCAGTGGATGTGGAAATGCTTGGTTTTTACATTTTTGAGGATTTAGCCTATAAGTAATTGTTTCCCCTTTCTCTACTTGTGTCGGCAGCTTAGGTCATAAACTAGCTCTTTTCCCTTTCTAGTTTCTCCTCTTGTTCATTGACCTTTTCTTTTTCAGACTGTTCTGTTCCTTTTGGGATTATAATGCTTGAATCTAACAAGAAAGTATTTGTAAATTTATATTATTCTGCTTTTCTCCTATAAAACTCTATTTTCTTGATTAAATTCTAAAGTTTCAGTTCTTTTCTGCCTAAAAAAAATCATTCAGTTAATTTCAGTAAAGCTAATGATTCTAAATTAAATCACCTCTTGTTAATTTGGTAGAAGGTATTTATTTTGTGAGCCACCAGTAGTAGACATATAGTTGAGGCTTCAATGGCAAGAAGTGTTTTAGTTTCTCAGTTGTTAATTGTTCCTGAAGAAAGCGCTTGCAGTAAATAAATTCAGACTGAATATTCCTGAGTGAATGTAGATATTTTAAATTTGACTACCTATTTTGGAATGTTGGGATAATTGTAATTAATTTTGATATTACTGTGGATAAAATGTTAAGGATTCTACATTAATTCTGTCACTACTATCCTTTCTCCAGGTTGTCCATCTCTGCTGTAGTGATGTCCTATCTTCAAAATCCCCAGCCCATGTCTCCTCCTTGGTGAAAAGATAATACCTTTCTTTAAAACTCCTTGCCAAGTAGAGGTGCGATCCTGTTGGATGTGGAACATTTTCTTAGATAACATAAACTTAATTGCACAAGTATACCATTGCAACATATTGGGAATATTTACTTTGCTATCAATAAAGTAATTATTATTAAAGATGCATTGGCTATGCTGCCAAATTTTGTTAACATGTTAAGAATGTATTTTATTTGATCACCAGTATGACTCTTAGCCAAGCCAATATGCACAATGAATTCTCAACGTATTTCCTGGACTATTAGGAGGGTCTATCCCATAGAAAAAGGAATCAATGTGGTCCAGAAACAAGTTTATCATCAATCAATTAAAAGAAACATCTGTCTTCCACATCGGTACTTGTAGCCAATTAGCATGCAACAGAAATAATGTCTTGGGAAACATAACGCTTTGTATATCTATAGAAGTAGGCAGCTTCTCATATAGCTTATAATCAAAATAGGGCTGTTGTAGAGGCATGTTACTAGCTTTTAATTTCTAGCACTATTATCTGATATATGAGGTATATGAGACAGGGATCTTTCCAAGTAGAGTTTTTAAGAATTCCAAAATTCTGAAAAGGTATCCCTCAATTATATCAAAAATTAGATGAATCCAAACAGGAGAATTGTATCCATTCTCTATGCAGTACAACTACTAATTTTTTATAGGGACATCTATCTGTGTAGTTTAATAACATTCTTCTCATTTGTATGCTGGGTGTGAAAGGGTTCAAATTTGTATTAGAGGACAAGCATAGAATGGAGAGGACATAATACTCCTTTAATTTTTGAAAAATTAATTAGAAGCACCTTTACTCAGGGACTCAAGGGTATTTTTATCTTTTTTACTCAAACAAGAATGAACAAATAATAAGTGAAAGAATGGAGGCTGTAGACCTTTTGGTTGCTTCAAAGCAGGGCTCTTTGGCTAACTTCCAAAG